TTACGGAGCACGACTTCTACAACGTGCTTCTTCTAAGCGGCTAATTATTAAGAATACAGGAAACTTTATATGCTACACCTTAGTTATTTAAAACCAAATACAAAAAAAAAAATCAAGCCCTCGCTGCTGACTCAAGAGCCGTGGAGGGATGAGGGATGTGTTCGAGCCCTCCTTATCGAGGGGAAATTTACACTGCACCGATTTATTCCTAATGCAGTGTTTCTGTCTCAAGCATATCACTGCATACTGCCTCATTTGCAGTGCATACTGCCTCATTTGCAGTGCATACTGCCTCATTTGCAGTGCATACTGCCTCATTTGCANTTTTTTATTTGTTTTATTGCATTGTTTTTAGTTTTGTAACCAACAGAAAAAAAAAGTTTTTTCAAATGTTGTTTTATATTTATTTATTATCTACTTCCCAGCTCTATACTTCGATTATACCTAAAAAAATCTACCCGAAAAACTCGATTCCCAACCGTAAATTTTTTTCTCTCCATAAAAAGTCAGTTAATTAATTTAACAATTTCTAACTATAAAGTTATTCTGATGATCAAATCTTGAATTGTTAGGCAGCATAAGCATGCATACCAAATTTCAAGAGTTTCTAGAATCTTCAGAAGTGCTCTAAATTAAGGTTTGAATTTTTGATGACAGACAGACAGACGAACACGAAGCGAAGAGAAGAAAAACGTGGGAATAATAACAACCAACCCTCTGTTGGGTGAAAGCGACATCTCACACGCCTAGCTCATCCACAAGCAACAGGCTCTTAAAAAAATAAAAAATATTTATGATCCCCGCTTGATCGTTTCGCGGCACCAGATACGACACGAATAAACCTTACTACAAGTCCTTCCTGATGAAGGGTTTTTCGTATTCATCTTCAAAAATTCCTTCGTCGCCTTTATTTTCGTTTCACTCCGTTTTGCATGGTGGTTATTATTCGCAGCTAATATTTTTTTGCCGAATAAAGTGAAGCATTCAAGATGGAAGTATTATTATTCGAAATAATTAATAAGCAATGATTTTTTGTATGTACGTGATTCCAATACGGTGAGGGATCATTGTTGGGTATATATACTGTGATGCCGAGCCTGTCTGTATAGCCATAATACCTAGAATTGTTTTGGAGTTTGAAAATTGGCGTTTTGTATTGTATTGTGTCCGGAGTGTGCTATATCTTTATTACAATTATGTACATATATCATAAATGAAAATCTTGAATGGGGTTTTTTGCCTGTGATTCAGTGGTCGCTGATATATATGGCGTCGGTTATAATATATTGTTAAGAAATTCAGCTTGTGTAAATGTCTTACAGTGTCAGTTGTGGACATGGTGTTATTATATTTCGAGTAAAGACTATGAGGTCGTTGAAACGGAAGAAGTTTTGAGATGATGGTTTGCCCTTCTGGCGTTTGTTGTTGTGGTGGTGTGCTTGTCCGTCTTTACATAGGGTCGTGATGGATGATATTGATGGTAGTGATCCGGTGCTACGAGGAATAGGAAGAAAAGTAAAAGCTGCTTTGAATTGTTCGAATCCTTTGTACATTTTCTTAGGTCAAGGTCTTTGTTGTTAGCCGTGGCTGCCGAGGCTGGAGGTTTGTACTTTAATGGTTTCTATATCTCTCTGCATCACGGTCAGCTTTAGCAAAGATTGTGTCAAGTCATCATCGGAAAATCTTGAAATTTTGCAATCAATTTCTGTTGGATCCATTCTGCCAACGTGTTTGTCTAGTCTTCAAACAAAAGTCGTTCCTTTAGAAAGTTGTTCAGATATAAAAATAAAAATAGCTGTAGTTTGATTTTGCTGAAATTTCTGTCACTTCCCTGCGATGTCAATTTATCTTTGGCAGAAGCATAATGAATCCTTAGGTATATATAGTCTATATACCTAACCCATATGGTCCAGAGGTTGTAGAGGAGCATGAGGCTGGAGGGAGAGAGGGACAGAGAAATAACGTGTATTAAACGTAGCCATGAAGTATGCATACATAATGCTAGAGACAGATCGAGGCACAAGAAGCTAGGTTACTAGTCCCTAGTAATTTGCACCTACAGTTGGGTGTTGCAATTACAAAATCTGACAAAAGAGGAAGAACGCCCATTACTGCAGAAATAGACAAGCTCTCACAAGTGAGGGTTCCCAAATAGTGTAAAAATTAACTTCATCATATGTCACTAACTCTAAATCTGTCTAATCATTCTTTAAATACGTACTTCCGTTCTTGTTTCACATAAACAAACTACTCCACATGCTTCCTTTTCTACACTCCAAATCGATTAATTTATGTTTAAACGTAGCATAAACATATATTCGAGATACCATCAATTATTTAGGATTTTCAATTTTAAATGATCTCTAACGGTTCATATCATGATGTCTTACTGTAAGGTCTTTTAAACTCCACCTATCTGACTTCTATCTCTAACAATGAGATAATAATGATCGTATGTTTTCGTCTCACCTAATATATAGGCCATCTATTGTTGATCTTCTTACATGAAATTTACCACCTATCAGGGGCTCAATGAATGTTAAGATATTTTTTGTATTTTAGAGTTTTATTTAATTAGTAAGTGGAACATTTTCAAAATACATTTTTAGTAATCATCTTCCCGAGGCAAATTCAATCAGTTAGTACGATGCCACGTGCAGGTGCCGGCTACGCTCTCAGCCGCACAGCGGTCAAAAAATTCGTTGAAGAAGCTCTTCCAGACCCTAAGAAATGCAGAGCTACTGATGACACGAGCGCTGAAGACGTCGAAATTGGTTCGTTACTTGAATTGTTAACTCCAGTTTATGATTTTTACCTGCGTATATTTTATCCTTGCAAATAAAAACTCATAGTCGCTTTTCCCACTNCCTTTTACATCAATCCAATTTTGGATGGCTATGAAAAAGACTTTGAGCAAAATGAGCAGATTGAGAGTGAATTTAATTTTCCGTCATTAAAGTTATCAAATTTATTGATCACATTATTTATGTGACTTAACAGATTTTTATACACTTTCAAATTACACTCAGTAGATATATGAGTTAGATAAGGGGGGGGATGAAGTTTTGATTCCGCTTGTAACTAGAATATAAATAACATAATTTTTCATATCGGAAATGTAAGAAATGGAATTGTAATCAACAAGTGCGAAATGTAGCTCGTCTAACACATATTCAAGACTGAATCGCCTTATGATTCATCAAATAAAATTTTTAATTCATACTCAAAACATTTTAGTTAGAACCCTTGATAAATTATTGTTCATTTTTCGTGTAAAAAAATGGAGTACATCTTTCTTCCAGGTCATCAGTGAGCTCGGCAGCAGAACTTCATGCAGCGTCCAGCGACGCCGATGCTCAGTAACTTGTCGCATTTTAATTTATTAAAGATTATTGTTCATTGTTCAGAACAGAGAAGAGTCGTTGCTCTCCGATTGATGAAACCTAGACTTGTTGCAGGGACATGATATTTAAATAAAGACTTTTCCAGGCCACATTAGGCAGTTTTGAAGTATATTTTTATGAAGGAAAACAGTTTGAAAGATAATCATTATGGTGAATTTGACTTTTATATTCACGTAATTGACTCTTATCTTGGTACGGTGTGTAAATACGTATCTTTCAATTAATTATAGTAGCCTGCTACGGCGATTAATTTATTGTCAATGTTCTAAAAAGATGATCGTGATATGTCCAATAGGAATGTCAAGAATTAAATCATTTACTTTAGTCCTATGACTTTACAATCCTTCAAAGGATTTGCGGTTTTTCCTTAGTTTATCGAGGGCCAAAATTTCTTTGATAGTTAAACTATGGCCCTAAACACCGCTGACTTATTCTACGTTCACATTACACTCCTTGATTTACAATCCGCAATGTTCATTACCCGCAATATTTTATTACCTGCCCTGTTTCATTACCCACCATGGTCCATTACACGCTATGTATGTAAGCCGTCTGTGCTACGTATATATAACTTCTCCACCAGCTCGCGTTTTGTTTCATTACTCGCCACGTTTCATTACCCACCATGTTTCATTAACCATCGTGTTTCAATATCTGCCCTGACAAAGAATTAATTAATAAGGTAATTACCCTGTATATAATTGTCTCAACTTGTTTTCTATCAATTAAGTGAAATATATCAATTTTACAACAAGCGCTGGCTGCGAGAATTTTAGTTATGCGGGCTTGGTCGCTTCTGATTTAGGCTCTTAACCGATAACCTTCGCTATGTTACCAGTAAAAATTTAGGGCAGGGAATAGAGCTGGTCGTAGCCGGCTGTAGAGCCGACGTAGGGACGCGACAGAGTCGCGATAGAGCAGAAATGTCCGCATTAGAGACGATATCGCCAACCGCGTAGCAGCGCTAATTAACCTCTGAGTACTTGCCCGCTAGCTAAAGCCAAAAAGGCACCAGACACGAGTTTTTAACGTACTGCTTAATTCCATAAAAATATAGTTTTAAGTGACAATTTCAAGGCGACTGGTTTAGCTGGCATCCCTAAGATCAACACACCTAATCTTTCCATGTAGTATAATAAAATATATCTCGATAGGATAATGCTTCTTAACTTTTTACGCCTCATATTAGATTCTTCCGCAATAAGGTCTACCCAACTATAATGACGATCAATTGAAGAAAATAAATATGAGCAAAGTGCCAAGTGCCTCGAGATAAAAGATCATTATAGGGCTTAACTTAAATACATGTATAAGGTAAGATAATAAATGATATAAAATTTAACGCCAAACATTTATTTTGAGTCCAAATGAACATCAGAAAAAATTTAAGACAGTTGAAATATTCTCGAAAAACTATAATGCTGTGTAAATGCGCTCCAAATATTCGTACGTCCATTATTATGTAGGAAGTCAGATGATGATCTCGCTCGAAAGCTTTCAAAAATTTTTAACCACGCTCGATTAATTTGGATAAAAATAATATTTTTCTTGATGATAATTTTACAATTAAATCTATCAAATTTTGACAGGGTTTTTCCTAGTGCCAGCCCGTAAAACTAATAATGAATAACATCTTTTAATGCTCTTTAATTTACGAGTTTAGCGATATTTATCTCCAATATGATTCGGTGTCTTTTTCGCAGCGCAGCCGTAGCACATCATCCTTTTATCACTGAGAGAGTCTCACACGGCTTGATGGTCTTGGTGGTGTCGACGCACATGTATAAAAATTCAGTGTTACACGTCGCAGAATAGATTTTCCCGGACTGCATGATGGCCACGCAGGAGGAGGTGTCATAGGGAATACTATCCCACATGTCAGCGACCACGGGAGTCTTGCTTGGCATGTGGACCCAAGCGCCGTCGATGTATTGCACGTTCACCCAGAAACCCAGTGTTTCTGAAAAATCCGAGAAATATTACCCGGAATTAAAATTCGAATTTGAAATTTATAGAATGTTGAAACAAAATTAGATCAGAAAATATTCTCTCACACCAGACGGTCTGTTGATTTTAGTTTCTCGGTTGAATCGGACGTAGAATTACAGTGATCGAATGGACTTTTCTATAAGAAATGTCGGCCTTCTTTTCACAAGCTGATATTTACAAAAAAAATTCTTTCCTTGACTGAGATTATAATGCATCTTTATAAATCAAAAAATCAATGATATACATATGATTCGAAAGATATTTGACTTTCCCTTAACAACACAATTCATGGAAATTATGAAATGAATTCATTGGAACAAGCACAAAAGTCTGATAGTAGTTATTATAAAAAAGCAACACAATAACAAAGTAAACAATAAATAATAATAAAAACGCGGTTTCAGCGTTTATTAGTCCGTAGGCCTGTCGCCGATTCTTAACATCGCTAACATTCACAGCATTTTGCGGTCTCGAACTCGCAACTCACTGCTACAATTCTGCTGTGCTTAACCGTCCGGCTGCCTTGCTGATTCTGACCAGAAACTGGCGCACATGCAGAGCTGGGATCGAACCCGCGCCTCGCCGCGCCAATCTTGGTACTCTGAACTTTAACCACTGGGCCACCATGCCCTTAACATTTTAGTTCATACATCTTGGAGGCATACATGAGATTTGCATAGTATATGTCTGCACTGCCTCCTCATAACTGGAAAAGGTAGCCAAACATCATTGTTTTCTCACCAGGTTTCGTGGCGGCGGCTGTCTTCATGGCATTCAGGTTCTCCTCCGTGTCTACTTGGGCCAGCTCGAGTCCACGCAACGCACATTTGGTCGCTGCCGCACAGAAGGTCGCTGACTCTGCTACAATGAGGATGTGGGGGACTGCTTCCGTTCCAATGCAAGATACTGCTCCATCCGAAGGGCTTGCTATTTCAGTTCCATCTAAGAAATATGGAAAAGTAGTCAATAAGTTGACCAGTTAATGTGTAGGAACACCGAATACTTGAAAACTGTAAGACTGATAAGTTATCAGAATTCACGTACATAGATTCCACTTAATTGCCTCAAATAATTTTAAAAATTTGCCTAATTCCTGTAGAATAGTAAGATTATAAATGACATTTTCAGCACCCACTTCTGTAAAACCCGTGAAAACAAAGTTAGAAGCACCTTCCTGTTCAATTTGGCACACTGTATAACACTCTAATTCAACTATTGCGGTTCCATGGACAATCCGCAAAGACTTGTAATGCTGTTATTTGATTCACAGTCCTATTGCATGGCCCGAGCTTTTATTCCGTGAATCAGGAAAGTAATATTACTTGCCGGTTCTTTGTTTATTGTAAACTGCTATAGCGAACTGCAAAAATATTATTCAATATGAAAATTTAACAATAAATATGTTTTATTTTGTATTGCCTGTCGTTTATTCACCTTGAACAGTTACCGTCTTTCCAACACACGTCGAGTAGCACATTCCATCGCTCGTTATGTTTTGGCCATTCAAGAACCCTCCAAAAGGAGTGACGCACCCACTGTTACCTGAGGAGAAATAATTACTGTGAATTCTTGATATATTATTGAAATTGTACATAAATTATTGGGGTGACGAACTCCTGTAACGAGAAGAGATGAAGCCCTCGTGAAGGTGGCGAGGAGGAACAATGCAGCTAATTGCGCAAAGTTAGTTAGAATGGGAAGGAGAAGAAAGAGGCAGAACGAAACGGTGATTTCATAAGTGATGCCGATTACAGTTTGATAGATGACCTCTTCTGGAGGTTCATCCGTTGCATAAATAAGGGTAAAAAAACCTTTGCAACCACTCAAGCTTGTAGAGCAAGATTGTCCACATCAAACTTAACAGTGCAAACACAGACGTATTTCTTACATATATATCGTGATCTATCGTAATATTGAGTTTATCTGACGTCACCTTGTACGTAGAAGAAAGGCATGACAACAAAATGATCCGTTCATATATTACAGTAAAATTCTAATTATGTTTGTAGACCAAACGATATCAAAAGTATTTTAAACACAATATGCCCTACACTGTTACTCACCATCATAGCCGATATAGACCGTCTGACCATCGCATGCTTGATTCTCAGGATCATAGAAACCATTCATGGCGATCATGCAGGACCCTCCATTGAACTTGAACATCAGTTTGGCTGTTTATACAGAGCATGGTTAACGCTACGTAAAATAAATGGCACGAAGCTATAACAGAATGAACAATTTAACCCTTATTTAGCAATTGTTTACAATGCATTTTAAGCAAATATTGTTATTATGCAAAGATTTTACCAGGATTTATATTTCTCGTTCGAATTAATCCCGCATTAAAATTAAACAAAAAGAAACTTACCTATTTTTTTATATTACTTGCTTTAAATTTTTATTAGAATCACATCCACTAAAGCCAATAATATTGTTCTCTCTCACTTAAAATAATAAAATCAAGTATGTCAGACAAACAATTTCACATTGACAGTGGATATGAAGAATTACCAGCGTCCACGGTGGCCTGGGCACAAGCGAAGAGAGTCGTGGCAGCGTCAGCGACCTGCCATGTGATGTTCTGAGCACTTGAGCTTGTGACCTGAAAGAACTCTTGTTGCCCTACGACTACCAACCAAAGACTTCCCGTCAGCGAAGCTGCTTGCTTGATGCACGTCGAATACATACTCTGTTTCATTACATACTCTGTTTCATTACATACTCTGTTTCACTACATGCTCGGTTTCATTACATACTCTGTTTCATTACATACTCTGTTTCACTACATACTCTGTTTCATTACATACTCTGTTTCATTACATACTCTGTTTCACTACATACTCTGTATCATTACATACTCTGTTTCATTACATACTCTGTTTTTTTACCTGCCCTGTTCCATTACCTGCTCTGTTTCATTACATACTCTGTTTCATTAAACGTCCTGTTTCATTACCCGCTCTGTTTCATTACATACTCTGTTTCATTAAACGCCCTGTTTCATTACCCGCCCTGTTTCATTACCTGCTCTGTTTCATTACATACTCTGTTTTTTTACCTGCCATGTTCCATTACCCGCTCTGTTTCATTACATACTCTGTATCATTAAACGCCCTGTTTCATTACCCGCCCTGTTTCATTACCTGCTCTGTTTCATTACCCGCCCTTTTTCATTATCTGCTTTGTTTCATTGTCCGCTCTACTTCATTGCCCGCTTTGTTTTGTTATCTACCCTGTTTCATAACCTGCCCTGTTTCGTTACCTGCCCTGTTTCATTACCCGCTATGTTTCATTATTCCACCACGTTTGAATTGAATATTTTATTCTCGTACAACGAAGTGGCGTTAAGTGAACTAACGGAATCCCTGCAAT